CCCCCCCCCAACTATGAAAATTAAGCTCACAGCCCTGTCTTTCTAACATGCTCCACTTGTGGTTTTATTATTGTTAGCTGTCCGATTTCAGAAACTGTAAGAGGAACCTCACTGCTCTTTCTACTGTAAAACGGGAAATCAAAACTGCCATGTCAGCAATTGGGTAACACTTAATTAGAAGTGCCATGAAGTGTACAAACTTTCGGAAAAGTTTGTACCCAGCGAAAGTTCACCCAGGGTTCAACTGATCCAATTAGAGATGGGCAATTTGTGCCAGTTTGTTTATTGGACAAACAGGTGTTCAGCACTTCAAAGTTCTGCTTCCTCTGGTGGGTGCCCGCACAGAGGCAGCACCTGGAGGTGGGGCAGGAAAGCTGAGCCACTACTTCTGAGTAAGCGCCCATCTCTGGACCCAGCAATTTACTAGTGGATCACAATCTGCCTTGTGCTCATCCTAATCTGACTAGTTAGGAAATGAGAATGCATATTGTTTGCTTACTATTCGAATAATTCTGCACAACACTCCTATTCTTCCTTGCAGACCTCCTTGATGTGAGCTCTTAAGTATTACAAAGATGGTAGATGGAGAAGAAATTAAAATCCTTACCAGGTTGTACTCCTAAATAATCTCTGGCATATGCTGTTTTATATTGCTTTTTTAATACTTCATCAATCTCTTGTTTAGTAACAGTTTTTGTCCAAGGTGCAAGACTATCTGTAGGCAGTAGTGTTTCCTCTCGAGGCATCTGCCTAATCAGGAAATGCTAACAACAAAGAGAGAAAAAAAGAACAGACATGCAAATGTAGAAGATAACCAAGAAACAGGTCTCCAACTTGAATATTCACTTTTGTTTAACAGTCTATTTTCCCTGTTTCTAAAAAGGCTAAAAATATAAACACTTCTCTACTTACCCAACTTTGACTCTTCCCCTAAATTATTATTTACATTGTCTAAAATCCAGTAATGTCACAAGGAGGTCCATTGAATAGCACTTCCATCTTGGTGCTATTGTAGCTACTGGAGGCATAACGTTGAGTTAGCCCACATAGCTATGCAGGAAGATTTTACCCATTGAGTTGCCACAAGTCAGAAGTGACTTGATGGCATGAACATCACCCGATCTAGATTTGGTTCAGCTGCTCTTACTTGTAAGTGAAAAGGGCATTGATTTTTAGCTGGTGCTACACAATTAACATTGTGTGTGTTTTCGCCCAAAAGCAGTTTAGAAGCCAAATTGCAATAGGCAAGACAAAATTTAAATATGAATTGTCTATGAAATATATGGAAATACAAATTATAACCCACTATGTTCCATACTTACCTCTCCAGGCTGGGGATTGTTTCTCCTTATACCTGATGCAGAGCCACTTCTTATGGGTTCTGCTTTAGAATAAGGTTTCCAACAGTATTCATCTTTGTAAATATTCTTTGCAGTGGGTTCATCAACTTGAAAGGGAATGACATAACCTTTCCCTGCTCTGGCACTGGAAGAAGCAGCAGAGTCAACAACACAAGCACATAAATCAATCACCTTTAAATTATTTCAGCTCAGAGTTATTTCTCAGGGCCATGCTATATGTTACAAATTACCCATCCTTAAAAAGCTAAAATTGTGTTACTGTTCTAGAGCCAGGATTCAGATGGACTTTTGTATCTGAGGAATCAGACATTCAAACAAAGCCACAGTGAGCTCCAAAAGATGAAAACAAAGCAAATCAATTTCTAAATTATGGAGGGCAAGAAAAACTCCTGCTACAACACCAGATCAGGCAATCAAGGTGAGGTTTATAATGACACTAATACTCGCAACATATAGTAAAAAAAAATTGGTTGATTCTGCTGCTGCTGCTTTTAAGTACACTATATGCAACTATAATATTGATTATTTATCTGAATTTGTATTTCTCAGCCTTTCAAAACCTATTCCTTTCTGCTGCTGCCAGGGCTTGTGTGCCCAGAAGCACCATGAATTGTGATGTTGTTGCTCCATTCCCTGCCTTGCTTCAGATGGCAGAATGGGTTTAACATAACTATGGCAAAAAGCCAGAACTAAGGAGACAGGACTACAGAGAGTCAACAGTGCACACACTTAGCTCCATTGTGTCAATACAAACATCTTTGTGCTGAGTCAGTAAACTTCAGTATCAGCTGGGAATTAATGGCGATGAATGAGATGAATGCCCAGACTTTACACTTCCCAAAACCAAGCTTTCTGCTCCACCAACGTTGCTTACTCTGAGATTTATCTTCTCACTGGAGATCCAGAGAAGAACAGCAGTTCTCTGAGACTTTAGCCAGTGTCCCGAGAAGTGGTAACCCTAATCTAGGGAGAACAGCACTTAGCAGAGCAAACAAAAAGAGGATAAAGAGCCTAGTGATGGAAACTCTTTCAAAGTTTGTGAACAGCCGAAACATTTTAGAGTGCAAGTTACTCTGTCTTCCTTAGCTGAAAACTGAATGACCAAGCACTCCTTTTCTAATTATGGATGACACCGTATTTGAATTTCAGACTGCAATGTTTCAAGATACACATTAGCAAAGCGTATCACAGAACAAAGGTAATAAAGTTTTAAGAAAACCTCCAAACATTATCAAAATGTTTAAACTAGTTAAATCAATGCCATCTTACCAATCTGCTTCGGGATCTGTTGCAGGTATAAAGACAAAATCATGTTTCATTGTTGTTTCATAAGGATCCCACTTTATTTTACCTACTAAAAACAGTACCTGTGAGTGCTATAAATTCTAAACACAGCTTATTATTTTTAAAACGAGATAAAGACAACAAATGTTATGATTAATCTATTTCCCCCAAACTGTTCCAGATGTCCTGGTGCTCATGGGGGGTGTCTAGGTCAAGATGTGCAGCAAAGGCTCTCTCCGCATTGTGTTCTCTTTCTGCTCACATATATCTGTGATGTGTTGGTTATTGTTAATGATAATAATAGTGCTAGTCACATCAATATATCACATATTTAGCGCATCTTTCAATTAAGAAAACCACCTTACAGTTTAGCCCATTCACGAAACTCCCTGTTCTGCATCCTCCTTCTTTTAGAATCAGCCAACTGATTCAGAATCTTTTAAGAGCAACATTCAGGATCTGTTCTGATTTAGTTTAAAGAGACAATATGCAATAACTTTTCCTTTCTTCACCAAAATCTCAAGAGTCCATTCATATAAGACAGCTATATCATTCATGAAATCGTACTCATAACAATTCCTGTAACAGTGAGAGGGAAATTCCCCTATAAGTACCATAATAAATTTGTTAATCTTTAAGGTACCAGATGACCATAAATTGCCCCTGCCTTTGTTGCAACAGACTAACATCGTTATGAGGTGCGGTCTAATCTTGTGAATTAGTTGGATTCAAAAGTGCTTAATATTGACTGTGAACCAGTTATAGGATTAAAGATATTATAGAGTTAAAGTTATTAAGTTATAAACTTCTAATAAAAATATGTAAGGTTGACTAAAGGTATTTTTCTTAGCAATGCTTTTGTTTACAAGGTACTGTATGATATACAACTGGGATGCCATGTATTAATAATTTGATTCAAGAGAGCTGTAAAACTTTCCCAGCCAGTATAAGGTACATATTTGTTTTGTTTTTGATGGGCATGCCTATGCTGGTTCTTTACACTGGCCCTGCATGAGGAAACCGTTTTTGGGGAAGTGTCATATGTTGATTCCCCTCACCACAGACTGTGCATTCTCAGAGATCTGACCGGGGGCGGGGGGGGACTGTTAGTCTAAATGGATGTAAGACCTAGTACACCCTAACAAATAGATAGTAGTTTGGAATCAGATGGCTTATCTCATCTCTCTGAAGAGAAGGCACATTGGATCTTATAATCCAGGAGAAGAGAGCCAGTGTGGTATAGTACAGCGGTCCCCAAACCCTGGTCTGCAACCCAGTACTGGGCCATGTCCTTGGCAGGACCAGGCCGCAGAGACAGATCTCTTCCCCCCCTCCCTGCATGCACCACTCCCGGCATGCATGCACAGATGCACCCCACTCCACATGTGCACTAAACCAGTCTATGGTGCTAAAAGGATTGGGGACTACTGGCATAGTGGATAGAGTATCAGACTACCCTGTTTCCCTGAAAATAAGCCCTAACCTGAAAATAAACCCTAGTATGATTTTTTCAGGATGCTCATAATATAAGCCTTACCCCCCAAATAAGCCCCAGTTAAGGGAAACTCCGCCCTCCACCATTGTGCAGCAACCAGAAGATGACATGACTGTATTTGAATAAATGTAGATTGTTGTACATGAAAAAAAATCCCCTGAAAATAAGCCCTAATGCATTTTTGGAGCAAAAATTAATATAAGACCCTGTCTTATTTGGGGGGGAAATATGGTAGGAGAGATCATCAGTTCAAACTGCAGTTGACCATGGAAACTCACTGAGGAATTGCAATGGTAAATCACTCCATGTCAAAAATCTTTCCAGGTGCCAGAAGAGTAGTATATAGGTGTTCTGGGCTCAGTCCTAAAGTGCATATAATGCTAATTGCTTGTAGCACCCCCCTTCTACCCTGTTCCCCCAAAAATAAGACCTAACCTGAAAATAAGCCCTAGTATGGTTTTTCAGGATGCTCGTAATATCCTGAAATAAGCCCTACCCCCAAAATAAGTCCTAGTTAAGTGAAACCCCACCTTCCACCATTGTTCAGCATTGTGCAGCAACCAAAAAATGACATGACTGTAAAATAAAACATCCCCTGAAAATAAGCCCTAATGCGTTTTTTGGAGAAAAAATTAATATAAGACCCTGTCTTATTTTCTGGGAAACATGGTACTTTATTTAAATCAACCATACAAGTTGCAGTCTCCAAGAGGACACTACAAAAGGGAAGCATATCTTAATTCTACAAACTCAGCTGATTTTCTACCTTCAAACTGCTCGTTTCCCTCAACCTGCATCTAGGTGCGGCAGACTCAGGAATTCCCTGGAAGACCACAATTCTAAAACAGGCACAAGACAAACAATGGAGTGAAGTCTTAAAGTTGCAGAATGGGCTTCAATAGGATGGAATGGAAGTTTGAAACCTTGGTTTTGCCAGTCCAAATCCAAGGTTTTAACTACTCTAGCTCTCGTATTTTGGTTTTATTGTGAGAGTTTCAACACTGTATCTAGCCTCTGGAATCGGGCCATTCCCAGATCAAATAGTTTAACAAAATATTTCAAATTCTCCTTATCTTACGACAGAACATTCCAACTACACAGAACATACAGTGAAAGCTTCTCCCTGGCAAGACTCAGCATGACAAATTATGTTCTGTCCCAAACCAATTTCTGCATTGCTCCCTTGCTTTATCAATTTTATTTTTCAAAAAGTTTGTTGTGCTGGTCCAGAAAGGAAAAAAAATACTGGCCAGAGTCCTACCAGGGACTAAGTGGCACAACCTGGAGGTGTGCGAATTATGTGTCCAGTTGAACAACAAAGATCATGGAATAATGAAGATGCATCCCAATATATTGTCAATTGGCTGTATTTTCATTGTTGTCACCATGCCATCAAGTCTCCTCTGATGCATGGCAACTCTATTAATAAGCCCTCTCCAAAATACTGTATCCTATCCTCAACCACTATGCCCAGCTCTTGCAGACGCAAACCCATGGGCTCTTTTAGAACGTCAGTCCATCTCATACAGTACAGTATTTGGTTTTCCTCTTTCCCAGCATTATTCTTTTCCATGGACTCCTGTCTTCTCTTGCTCAAGCTCTTGCAGATGCAAACCCATGGGCTCTTTTAGGAAGGCAGTCCATCTCATATTTGGTTATCCTCTTTCCCAACATTACTCTTTTCCATGGACTCCTGTCTTCTCTTGCTGTGACCAAAGAAGGACAGCCTGTTTCAACATTTTTAGGCTTAATTTGATTCGGGAGCCACTTGTTTATCTTTCTGGTAAGCCAGGATATCAGCAAAGCACATTTCAAATGAATCTCCCCCCCCTTCCAATTCAGTTTTCTTAACTGTCCATCTTTCACAACCACACATGGTGATCAGAATTACAAGAATGTGGATGATCTCGGCCACACAAACTTCATGTAAGCACCAAAGGCCCTAATTTACAGTTGCACAATTGAGTCAATTTTATTTTACAATTTTATTAGGACCAAAATGCAGCAAAAGCAGACAAGCCTCTCAGCCCTTCAAAACTCAGATGGAATTGAGCATGGCATAGGGCACACGATAAACCATGCCAGCCTTTGGGTGCCCCAAAACGAGGCTTTTCTCGTTCCTATTACAACCAACTTTTTTCGCACTGCCTAGTTTGATAAAGAGGTCTAGACAATTTAAACATTTGCATAATTTTATGGCATTTTGGCTCGTCCTAATAAAGACAAATAAAGCTCAGCTGTGAGGTTTTCTATATGTATTCAAGTAGCGTGGAAATTATTACAGAGACAACCATCTATCCTATGCGCATGCTCCTTTTCTTTGCGCTTGCGCATTGCGGTTAATCCTCGCTCTTTCACGTTCTGCCTGGGCAACGCGCGAAAAGAGTTTCTCACCGGCAGGAGGCGATGGCGGCGGCGCCATCGTTCTGGCTGACCGGGGTCTCCAAGCGGGGACCGCAGGGACGACGGAGGCGGGAGCCGCTGCTGCTGCGGCCCCGTCAATCGGGGGCAGGAGAGGGCGTTCAACGCCGTCCATGTACGCTGCCTGTTTCGAGGGCTCCTTCGAGCCCAGACTCGCCTCTCCCGTCGGGGTATAAAATGTCGGCGCTGGAGCGGGGATAAGGAAGGGGAAGGGAAGACGCCGGGACTGAGGCGAAGCTGCCGGGAAATGAGGGACCCAATGGGCACGGCTGGTGTAGGCACTACCCGCCCTCCCGGTTGCCCCGGTACCAGGCGTAGTATTGTGACCAAGGGAGAAAGAGCAAATGACACCCGTCTTGCCCTTGCCAGGGCAGTGAGGGTTTCACGAGAGCCGGCTCCAACGTGGGAAGCAGAAGGGATCGGGACCTTTGCGATGCCATCTGTATAAATCATGGATATAATCCTGTGGCATCGCCAAGGGACAACTGTTCTCGGTGAAGGAGGAGAGGGAGCATTTGTTTTAAAAATCTAAATTTGATGGAATGGGCTCTTTAAGGCTTTCTTGCAATAAACCCATTATTCCCCCCCCCCCCCCCCGCAAAGTAACACAAAACTCATTTTAAGCTTCCCTACTTTTTTAAAAATTGAGTTTGAGATTTAAAGTCTCAATTTTAAGAGGAGTGGCAACTTCTCTCACTGCCTTTCTTGCACATAGTTATTTGCTTGCCATTAAAAAAACACAGTTACTGTGGGCATCTACAATGTCAGAAATTGGCCAACTAAGGCTACTGTCCATGAACGTGATGCAGTGGGGTGCTACAGCCCACCCAAGCTTTTGACAAATAAAATGTGTTAATCTATAAGATGCAGTTTTGTAATTTTTACGGCAACAGACGAACACATTTCCACCCCGGGAAATTGGCACAGGATCCTGGTCCTCCTTTACTTTAGGTTATCTTAATAAACATGGCAATAAATAATGTTTAATATATTGACAGGCTAAATTTGCCAGATTTCTTTCTTTTAAAAGGATTCCTATATTTTAAATAGTTGGCATGAAATAAATTCAGTAAGTGCAGCTTTCCTTGGCAGGAAAAGCTAAAGGTTTGATTTTTTTTATTTCTGTATTGCTGTTAAACGGATAGGAAGCCTTTTGGCAGAAAGAAAATTGGGAAATTATGAGGATTTGTTTTGGAGAGAAATGTAAGGGAAAGACTGTGAATTTGTTTAACTAACTGCCCATTGGTCTAGATGGGTGGGATAGAAATCCAATAAATAAGTAAAAATACTCCCTCAGCTCAGGCATGGATTGCAATAAATTTAAATTACAGTAAAACATACAGTGCTGGTTTGCTACTTCAGACTCAGTATGTTTCAGTGGTAAGTATATGGATCTAACGTGTGAGAGTCATGCATTCAAACCCCTGTTTATAATCCCTATCTCACATATTTTTGTAGACAAGTCCTTGCTGCCCACTCCCAGTCTTGCACAGGAGTCTTGTATGTCTGCTAAAACTGGCTTTATATGCAAGCCTTATCATAACATTGGCTCTAGAAAATATTTTCATATAATCTTATACAATATAAACCATTGTTGCCTTAGTATTAAGTTTCTGGTGCAAGTTGTAGTAATGGAAAATAGTCATGGGGTGGATAGTTCTGGGCACTTGGTTAGAGAGCATGATTAACACTGGAGTAATCCCTTTGAAGAGCTGATTCAGCCAGCTATTGCTGTATTTCATTACATCATGGTAAAAACATATTTTTAAAAATTATACAGTCTATCAGATTGCCATCTAGTGAAGTGTACTGTGTACTTAAGTACATTAAATCCATAATGGATTTAAGCAGTCATCGTATTAATCTTGAAACTGTATTAGGTACCTTATCATGGATATTTGTTTGTTTTGTCAATAATTGGTACAGATTATGTTTCACATCATGAAGACTAAATGGAATTTATTTCTTAAATGTAGTTATTGGTATCATAGTCAACTCAGTCTGTTAGGCTAGTAGGGTTTGATGCAACATTTTATGAAAAATATTAACACGTTGTACACTTTGCCAAGCCGCGGTTTTAGATTGATCACACAGGAAGGTACAGCAGCAAGCATTTCCCTGTTCTGAAGACAGAATGGGGCTTGAAGGAAGAACATGAAAATATATGGATGAGAGATGTCTGTTCTGCTGAGTTTTAACAAAGAATAGGGAGCTAGTACATCCACTGGTGGGGGCAAAAGTACAGATGGGAGACAGAGTCTCCAGATGTATAAAAATATTGGCAACACAGACTTTATTCTTATGTATCTAAAAAGCTAAGGCTCAATGTGTTTCAGCTTAGCTTTTGGCTTCTGGACCTAAGCATAAAATTATATATTAATTTAGAAACAACTGGCCTGGATAGTTGCAGCATTCCACCCCGCCCCCATCTCCAGTCAATTCCCTCCAGTCAATTAAGTCTCTCTCTCTTGCCTGGATAGTTGCAGCATTCCCCCCCTTATCTGTATAGTTAACAGTGTGAAATATTAATGAATCTGCACACAACAAGATCAGTAAACTCCTAGTATAGATTAATGACAGCATCTAAGATACACACCAAGCTTTTAGAACTTTAGCATCTCATTTAGTCTATACCATAGATTCAAAGTGCAAATGCAGAAGCGATGGTTATCTACTTCTAGATAGATCTGGTTCCTGTGAAGCAGGAGAGGTCCTTACTGAGAAGGGAAATCAATTGGATATTGAGGCTGAACACTTTAGCCCCTTATGGGTTATATGAAAAAATATTTTTTGCACAGCCCCCACTGCCTCACTGATTATCTAACTGTCCTTGACTCATCTGACAGCTGCAAATAAGTAGGTACCATCTCTTCTGCCCTTGGACTCCATTTTGTTTCTCGGCTTAAGAACATAAGAGCCCTGCTGGATCAGGCCAAGGGCCCATCTACTTCACCTTCCTGTATCACAGTGACCCCACACGAGACAACTAGATACCTGTCTCCTGATACCCCTCCCCTGCACCTGGCACTTGGAAGTACCTTCCTTTTAAACTTGGAGATTATACATCCCCATTATGGCTTGTAACCTACGATGGACTTTTCCTCCAGGAATCTGTCCGTCCCATTTTAAAGGCATCTAGGCCAGATGCCATCACCACATACCTGTGGCAAGGAGCTCCACAGAATAACAACACACTTACTTCAAAACAATCAGTTGAGACCATTGGGAAGTGCAGTCTTTTCTTTCCATTGTGGCTGGATGGGAGTTAAGAGGGACAAAGGTGAAGAAAGTTAGGTACCTGCCCCCCTGACTTTGTGACCAACTTATTACTGGGAAGGGGATGCAGGATCCCCTTTGCAGGGTTGCCAGCAATAGAATGTACAGATGAAAGACTCTGGGTAAACCAAGAAAAGTTTACCCAGAATCATCATCTGCATTGATATAGGAACTTTATATCTGTCTTACTATACATGAAGATTTTAACAACCTAATTTGTAAAGACATTTTTATTTCTGCTGTTGCATCAGCATCTTTTGCTGACCTATCTGAAACCCTCTTGTGAGCTACTAGTAGGATCACACTCAAACCTTGTCATAATTTATATTCTGTGAGATAATTCTGAATATTGCTTCTTACCACCTATTATGTAGCATGTACAAATACTAGGGTGCAAGAGAAATGAAAAGATCCATTAAAAATCTCCTTTTATTATAAAACAAAGATATACAAAGGCATTAAACGGTCACTTATACAGAGAGATCTGATCAGGATTTAAAATATGACAGAGCCTGGGAGAAAACATATTGCAGGACTCATTCATTATGAAAAGCATATCAAGCAATGCCAAAAGGGCCCCTTGCAGTAAAATCTTAATAGATCTAAAATATCCAAGGGCAGCACTTCTGGCTTGTACACTCTGGCAGTATACATTGTGTTCAAATACTATGGTATACAGAAAAGGTAAAATGTTCACCACAGATACACCCAAAAGTGATACATCCCCACTCAGCTGTACATTAATCTCCTTGCCTCAAAGAACCTTCTTTAGTATGGAATGCTTTAAAAAAAAACCTCAGGGGATTATTAAATTCTGACTCAATCTCCAGTTACATATAATGTTTACCTGTTTTATTAGTGTCTGAAAAGGACAGACATTTATCCCAGGCTGCAGCCACCTGGAGGCTACTCATTTTGGTTTTGCATGGGAGAACACCGGGGCAGTTCTATGTATGCAAAGTATGCACTAATTAGATAAGTATAAAAGACAGTCCTTCAAGAAAAAGGAAGGGGCAGTATCAGAACCCTCAAATAAATATCTAGGAATGTGATTCTTGGGGGATTAATACATTTTGGCTTTTAAAAATCCTCTGGATAAGGATGGAGATCCACAATAGCAAAAGTATTCAAATATTACAAGTTAAAGGGTAGGTGGGAGTCTCTCAACCAGGAATCACACCATGTAGTCACCCTCTACAATGCTTCATAGTATTATGCACAACTTTGTAACTGAATGGGATATTTCTGCACATGATTGGTGGGGCCCTTTTCACTTTTTCAGTATCACATAGCAACTAAGACTTCTCTGATGGAACCCTCTTATGAACGCAAAGCTTCACACAAATTGTAGTGTATATTTCATCTGTAAAAGTAAACAAATTTACTGAGTTATTTCAAAACAGCAATACACATTTACCTATATTTCCATGAATTGATATTTAAAAAACAAAATGTAGGACAAAATAATTAGCCCATCTGTGTTAAAAATTAACATCAACACAAACTGTAGTACAGTATTAAGGAAATAAGGCATTTTATATGAATTGCAGTGCCAAGAGTTGGTCATCACTGTTTATTACTTCAGAGAACATAAGAGTAGCATAAAAATGATTCAACTCTTCTTTGACACAAGTTTCTTTCAAAATGTTTTCTAAAAACAAGTGAAAATGTATCTTAAGGGGTTTTAGGTAGAAACACAGAAAATTAATCATTTTGACTAGAGGAGATTCTGGAGGCTTGTGATGGAGCTGAAATTACTTTCTCATATTTTCTCACCAATTAAGTATTGTTGTTTTAATCTAGACCTAATAATCAAAATCTAACTGAATCAACCAGAACGTATCTACAAACTAGGTAACAGGTTTCTGAATATCATGTAAAAGCACTTTCATTCAAGTAGTGTCTCTGCTAGTTCTTCAGGGTCACTACTGCCAATTTTTAAAAAACCTCAGTAAATTTAGTTTCAAACAGATTTATATTTTTGAGCATAAAGTCAGTTTCAAATTCCTTTAGACTTGGCATAAGACAGTTATAAGTATTACACCAGTTATAAAACAGCTCACTACTTGTGGTTTTAAACTTGCTGCTCATGATTTTTCAAATTTAGAACTTGTTATTTAAAAACACTCTAAAAATTAACTTTAAAATAATTTTTAGCACTCTAGCTATATACTTAGGTGTAACAGCAATAACAAGAAAGCTCTGTCTTCCAAATAACTCTTAATATGCTGAGTGAAGAACCATTTCTGCAAGCACCATCTCGCGGAACAGGAGGGGCTTTCATGAATCAAAGAAAGCAAGTGGAGTCCAAGAATATTCTGCTTTTTGAAGTCTGATGCAGCAGAGCAGCATCTTCTTTTCAGTACTCCTGCAATAATGATTCCAGGATGTCACTCTTTTTCTGATGTACCTTTCTCCAAAGTATGGAAATCCAATTACAGTATTTGGTCAATCTTCAGAAGCCTGAACTCCTGAAACTGTCCAAACAGTTAAAGGAGACTCAGTCCAAGATGACTGTGGAGTCAAGTTGCTGTTAAATACATCATCTATTGAAGCTGCAAGATAGTAAGAGAAATAGTTACAATATGTCTAACAAAATGGAAATAGTAATGCGTACGATTTTGGGATACCATACTGAGAAGCAGAGATAGGAAATACAAAGTCAAAAATGAAAATATTCAGTGCAGTAGGACCTCCTATCCACAGGATCAGTATCCACTGATTCATTTATTCATTGCCTGACAATACTAAATTAAAAACCCCAGAAATACGTATTTATACATATTTCCAGAGTAGAATTGGCCACTAGAGGAAGACAGAAACAATGCAATGTATATCATTCAATACTCCCATGTTTTCTGGCATCCACGGAGGGGGGGGGGCTTGAAACTGATCCCCTGTAGACACTGTGGTCCTACTGTAATTACTTGTTCATTCCTAAGAATCACAGCCTTTTAAAACTGGTGTTAGCTTCAGTAGTTACAGTCTTGCAATTGCATTTCCAAACAGCTTCTTTGGAAATGTAAGGAACACTGAGAAACATTGTCTTCCCAAATGTATAGAAACAGAAGAAAGATTTAGTGAAGAGATAACATCAAAAGGCCAGGCTTTGAAATATAAGTAGCTTCTTGAAGGCACAAGCGGCAGAAGAGAGAGTACGTCTCTCTTATCGGTGAAAAACATAGTGTACTATCTCTCTCAGCAGGTCATCAACTTACCTCTAGAAGTAACACTGAACTTTCTGTCTGAAAAGCTGTTTGAACGCAGATTTGGTTCACTCATTTTGTCCAGAAATTTCGTTATCATTTCTCTTTTCTCTGGATTAGTACTGGACAAATTAAGAACTTTTCCATTCACTGAAACTGTGCTTTTGCTGATTCCAAACCAGTAAAAGAAATCAAATAAGGCATCAACTTTGAATTCATAGGAGAAGCTCAAACTTTCTTCATTCACAAGATAGGCTCCTGAAGGAAAAAACTTCTTTACAGCATCCTGGAAATCAAACTGTACAAAGGGGGCAGGTGAGGGGAGAGAGATGATTAGACACATATAGCAACCAGGAAGATTTCCAGACCATTTGTTAAATCCAAAAGAGATTTGTCTCTCAAACTAAATGTAGATTACAGTCCTAATAAGAAAAAAGTTCACTTACTGTATGAAATATTACTCCAAAAATGGGGTGACCTCATTTAGCTGCCATTGTTATCATCACGCTCCAAAAGTGATAATTAGAAAAAGCCAATACACTACTCATTTGAATCCATTACCTTTTACACAATGAAAAAACTGCTTTAAAGTAGCACTCAAGGAGGGTTCTAAACAAGATGAGAGGTGTTACCACCCAACTGCTTTTATGCTTACAACAATGCTCGTGGGAGAACATGTTTTGCACCCTAGATACGTTTAAGCACCTGAAATTTGACTAGAAGTCACCTCTGAACCAAAGTTATCCCCGAACTATCTTATTCTTATCCAAAACAGGATACATCCAATGTTTCTTGCAGTCTAAGCAGCACTTTTGTTTGCTAATGCTTGGCAGGCAGAACAGGGCCAGCACTGGATCTAGACTTACTAAACATATAAAATGAAATGATATATAATTATTGAAACATTTCCCTTTTCTATTAGCAGAAGTAAATAGTAAATACTAAGGCGAGCATCCTACCGAGTTTCCACTGAGCAGAAAGTCACAGCGTTGTAGTGACGCTGGATTATGCCTCTCAGCACTGTGATTGCACAGACAAAGTTTCTTCACAGAGATCACTGGTTGCACAAACGCCATGACCTATATTATTATGCTGGTGAGAGACACCAGTCTAAGAAATGAACAGGAGAAAAATGCAGAGAGCCTAAGACAGATAACCATCTGTCAGATCTGCTTTGATTTTGAGTTCTGCACCAAGCAGGGGGTTGCAATCAGTGGCCTTATAGGCCCTTTCCAATTCCATTATTCTGTGATAATAACTGTTCAGACTAGGCACTATGTAGGTTATCCAGACAAGTCTCCTCTGAGTTGCAAGCTTGATATTGTCCTTTGTCCCTTATAATTAGTCAGAGCAGATACTGACTTAAAGATAACAAGCTTTTGCAGGTCAAAGAGTCTGTTTGACTTACCTGGAGTTTATAGCTTTCTCCTATCACAGAAGATATTATGTTGTTCATGCCATTCTCTATCTGTCTTCTTATTTTTGGGTGTCGAGTGTTCACAAGCAAAGCATAGGTTTTTTCTAATGACAAATTGAACAAGGTTAGTACTTTCTGCTACACAGCATTAACTTTGCATTTCAGATGCTGTTTAAGACTACGCACAAAAGATTTCTGCCACAATCTTCTTGGGCTGTTACACACATTAGAAAGTTAACAAAACAAACAAGCTGTGTTATGTGTGTGTGTTTCATAGTACAGTGGTTATAAGAGCCTTGGAGTGCAGTTGTTAAACTGCAGTACTGCAGGAAAGGCTCTGCTCACAACTTGAGTGTGATCTTGATGGCCTCAGGTAGATGGCCAAGGTTGACTCAGCCGTCCATCCTTCCAAGGTCAATAAACTGTGTACCCAGCTCCCTGGGGGTGGGCAATGTGCCTGCATGATAATCTGTAAACTTCTCAGAGAGTTAGAGCCTCGGGGTGCAGTTGTTAAACTGCAGTACTGCAGGAAAGGCTCTGCTCACAACTTGAGTGTGATCTTGATGGCCTCAGGTAGATGGCCAAGGTTGACTCAGCCGTCCATCCTTCCAAGGTCAATAAACTGTGTACCCAGCTCCCTGGGGGTGGGCAATGTGCCTGCATGATAATCTGTAAACTTCTCAGAGAGTGCTTTAAACACTGTGGAGCAGCATATAAGTACCACACTTTGCTTTGTCTTTTGAAAAATCTGTAATTCATTTGTAGGAAGCAGCATTCTTATATGCCAGCTTCCCACAGTAAATACAGTCTAACACAGATGTAGTATCTTTTTACATGTTGCCAAATACACCCCAAGTACATATGGTTTGTTTACTAATTTCATAGCATGTTATGTGACTCTGAAACTATTACTTGGACTAAGACACACTATTCATGCTTTCAGTACTGATAGATCCTTTATGCTAAGTACTGACTCAAACAGCTGCATACAGCGCTCTAGCAGCTAAATGCAGAAAATTGGTTGCTAGAAGTGTGCACACTCTGTGTTTTTGATCCCATGCGCCATGTCCATTTCTGTTTACAGAAAAGCAAAGCATCACAGAACTAAGGAGCTGGAAGGAAGCCCAAAGAGTCATCACGTCCAGCCCCTTACAGAAGAAGGTTACATGGCTACTTGTTGTATCCCAACAAGTAGCTACATAACCTGTGCCTCCAATGAGCACCACACAACTTGAACTGCAGTGGCTCATGTTTTACTACCATAGAGTGAACCACTCCTAGTTGAGCACCACACAACTTGAACTGCAGTGCCTCATGTTTTACTACCATAGAGTGAACCACCTTTTTCAGACAAAAAAACCCTACAGACTATGTGATATTAATCTGCTACCTTATGCCTTTTTTCAGACACAAAAACCCTATGTGATATTAATCTGCTACCTTATGCCACTTTTCATTGTATTTTTGTGTTATAGTCACATCTGGATATAGCTGCTGGTCAGTGACCATAATAAAGCTCATTCATATACCATATTATAGACTATATTATTGCTGGTTTGATAAGGACACCACAGTATAGTGACAGCAGCAGTTACTCTGGAGTTGTATTTAGTTATTTAGTGCAAGCTAAGTGATCCCATTTACACTTGTAAAGCCAGGTTTGATCGTACATACCTTTTGAAGAAGTACGTTTTGTTCTGACATTTACAAAGAACACCAATGGACGCCCCAATATGGTCTCTCTGTAGTTTTTATAGTCGTAATGGGTATTGAGTTCTACATACCTGTTCAGGAGAAGAAGGCCACATATTAGATATTAACGGTAAGCAAAAAGAAAAAATTCAAAAAGGCTGATTTAAGTGTTTTTAGAATCATTTTCTCTGAAATGCACCTACCATGAAAATTTAAGGAGGCATAGAGGTCAAAGAAAGGGGCAGCAGCACAGAACACAGGAATCCTTGCCTCCACTGAGAAGTCAAAGTTAAGGGACTGCTTTCTGACCCAGGAAGCAGGGACTTCCCTTGATGTAAAAGTTTGCCTGCACTTAGAAGCAAAGTAGAGGAGAACCAAGGGGCACAAGTAGTAAAAAAGTGACAGAGGTAACTATGGCTGGCTGCAGATCAGCAAGGAGGAGCAGTAAGAAAAATACAGTGGGGTCTCAACTTACGAACTTAATCCGTATTGGAAGGCAGTTCTCAGGTCGAAAAGTTCTTAAGTCGAATCTGCATTTCCCATAGGAATGCATTGAAAACCATTTAATCCGTATCTGCTCTTTTCGTCCATAGAAACTAATGGGAAGCTGCTATTCCGCCTTCTGCCACGAGAGGGGATATTTTTTCTTTTTTCCTTTTAACCTAAGATGACTTAGCTTTTTAAAAAAGGAAAAAAAGAGTTCGTAACTCGAATCTAAGTTCGTAAGTCGAGCCCATATATTCCTATGAGAGCGGTTCGTAAGTCAAAACATTCGTAAGACGAGCCGTTCGTAAGTCGAGACCCCACTTGTGCTTGTGCTCAGTGTGTATTGCTAGTACAAAATCTGGTGTGAAAGGTAGACTTCAGTGGTTCTCTTGATTGCAAACCACTCATTCTTCACCAGAAAAATAACTGCAGGTTTAGGATATGTCTTTTAAAAAATACTGACGGGGCAGCTTGTGCTCAGCGTGTATTGCTAGGACAAAATCTGGTGTGAAAGGTACACTCCAGTGGTTCTCTTGATTGCAAACCACTCATTCTTCACCAGAAAAATAACTGCAGGTTTAGGATATGTCTTTTACTTGTTCATATAATATCACAATATTCAGGGAACGGAGTAATGATTCCTGCTCCAAGTTAAATATCTATTGCATACGATGTGCAATTTGACAAAAAATAAAGACACTTGCAAAGAAGCATAAGTATAGAAATCAATTTGTACTGCTTAGGCCATTCTCGTTTATCTTTGTTAAGTCTCTAAAGCACTGGTTCTTAACCTTGGGTTACTCAGGAGTTTTGGACTGCAACTCCCAGAAGCCTTCACCACCAGCTGTCCCGACTGGGGTTTCTGGGAGTTGCAGTTCAAAAGCATCCGAGTAACAGTGAGGCCATTCTTGTTTATCTTTGTTAAGTCTCTAAAGTATAGTCTTGTGTAACATTGCTTGGTATTAATTTGGTCTCTGTCCTAGAGATCGGTTCTGCTTACATGCCCAGAGTTCTTTTAAAAACCTGTTCATTTAACATCAACCCCAACATAAGAGTGTGTCGCCATAGTCTTTTGAAACAACAACTGAAGTTACTGATCACACATCACTTCATGATCCTAACAGGTGAGTAGTGACTTTTCTTTCAAAGCTACCTTGGAGTGCACCTCACTGCATGTGAAGTGCAGTTTTGGTCTATGGAAAATTGTAATCCACAAAGCCTGATCCACAAATTCAGACTTTGTGGATTACAATTTTCATAATACCCAACAACTAGACATGTTGGCTTGGACCTAGGGGACCTGTAACCTGTCTCTAAAATAAAGGGAAATTTGAGCCATCTGTAGGACTCTTAGGGAGAGTCAAGCACCTAATTTCTGGGTCTGACAGTTCCACACACAATGTGGGAGAGAGTATAAGTAGTAGTGTAATAAAGCATTGGGACTTTTTCAAATTAGCTAAAACATATGTGGGTAATACCTTTTTCAAACCGTTAAAATACCACAGACAAGCAAGCTTTCAAGCTTTGCAGGACTTTTCACCAGTCTGAGCGCTGTTGTGTTTAAGGTTGAGAGGAGGTGAGAGAAACAGGAAAGTTTAAGATCATCCTGACTATATGCTGAAGCTGCAGCAGCTGTAATTAAAACTAAGGTTGCAAGATAGAAACTGAAAACTTAAAGAATCAGGTTGGGGTGTAATGGTAGTGCCCCGTTTCATCTCAGGTTGAGTCAACTATCATTCTCCATCTGTACAGTATTAGACAGAGATTCCAGTCACTCAAGGAATGCTCTTTCTTTTATTAACAGGGTTGAGTATGCTTTCAGCCACCTCTCTCAGACTTTTCTTTTCCTTGGATTCTAGCTGTAATTGTCAGAATAACTTTTAGAGGAAAAGGAGGGATTTCCCCAGTAACAATACATAAGCTTGGTCGTAATGCAAAGTATTTTGTGGTGGTCTGGTTCTAAATGAGTAATTAAGATCTATAAGCTTTACAAAATACTTTCTTCTGGCTGAGATGAAAACTGCTAGAACTGGTTTGTTTGTTTTGATCAATAAAACTGCCTGCATTTTTTTACTCTCCTTGGGTGGAATGGCTCTGAAGACTGACATGGGGAAAACAAACCCCTGCCTGCCAACATTTACTATTGTCTTGCTGTATAGGGATCTAAATATGCGACGTGGTGGCACTGTGGGTTAAACCGCAGAAGCCTCTGTGCTGCAAGGTCAGAAGACCAGCAGTCATAAGATCGAATCTATGTGACAGAGTGGGCTCCCGTCGTTTGTCCCAGCTCCTGCCAACCTAGCAGTTCGAAAGCATGTAAAAATGTGAGTAGATAAATACTATCGTGATGGGAAGGTAACGGCATTCCATGTCTAGTCATGCTGGCCACATGGCCACGGAAACTGTCTCCGGACAAATGCTCCCTCTATGGCTTGGAAACTGGGATGAGCACCACGCCCTTGAGTCGGACACGCCTGGACTAAATGTCAAGGGGAAAATTTACCTTTACCTATAGGGATCTAATGTTCAAAGAAGAAAAGCTGGGAGATTTACTGAATAAACCCAAGCCCTCGAATAGCCCTCCCGGTCATCATAGCTCTGCTCGTAAGGATGACGGAAGGTGCCGTGCAAAATATCTGGAAGGCTTCAGACTGATGAAGGCTGTCCTAACATAAACCTAAAGTGATTCTTTGGCTCCCTGCCTGTGTAAATATAAAGCTACAGTTTATTACAATCATAGTCATTACTGGAAATTACTTCATGCTTTAAAAGCCTCAAGTAGTGTTTACAAAGAGACAGGTACAGTTTGTTTCAAAGTAACTCACTCATCAATCTTTTCATACGATGTATGAGCTGGCTGGATAGCTCGATGGTGTAGCTATCTGGTTGCAGAGTGAGAGACTGGGAGTACAATTCCCCACTGTGCCTCCTATGAGTGGAGCCAACCTCTGTGGCCTTGGGCAAGCTGCACAGTCCCAGGACACCCCCAGAAGAAGGGAATCGTGAACCACTTCTGAGTACTCTCTACTTAGAAAACCCTGAAAAGGGTTGCTGTAAGTCAGAACTGACTTGGCGGCACACAATTATTATAAGCAGATACCTACTGTGATGTAGTGGCTAGAGTGACAGACGAGGACTCTGGAGATCAGGGTTCGAATCTTCGCTCAGCCATGGATATTCATGGGGGAAGTGCAACATGTAAGACTACTCCTTAAATATCTCACTGAAGCCCTATTAGAGTTGCTATAAATTGATTCCAACTTGATGGCACATAACAACAATGATCTTTAAAGAGTTAGATACAACAAGTTAACCAAAAGGTGTGTGAAAAGCGTCTGGGACAAGATACAAAAAGTTAACCAAAAGGTGTGTGAAAAGCGTCATACTGCTTACTTAAGCAGATCAGCCGACACTCTAGCACATGACACTTCTTTAAACCTCACTGTTTGTGAAAACAAAACACTTTTTTTTGCACATAGGTTTTGCTCCTTCTTACACTATGTAAACTTCTAATCTCACACACATCTGGAGGAAGATATTTCACTCAGTTACAAACATACTAAGTCACACACACAAACCACCTCACTCACCCTACCCCACTCTGCTGTTAGCTGGTATTGCTACTCTAATTTAAAACGAGAATTGATCAATGCCTGGAAAACATAGTGGCGGTATGACAGAAAGCAAGATTCATTCTCTTCGAGCTCAGCTCACATGGTTGCTGGAACATGTAAGGTGGCGCCGAGGATGCCAAAAAGGAACAGAAAAAGTTGGTTGGGTGGTACCATAAACAAACACATAAAATCCCATGAGTCAGTGTCCTAGTTAAGCCAGTCATACTATTTATCCATGGAAGGTGACTAAAATCTGCAGTGGCCTAGATCCAATGTGATGCTTGTGGACATCACAGTACAGTACTTTCTTTCCTTCCTCTCACGTCGAAACTGGCTCCAGACCTTTTTATAAAACTGATAAAATTGCAATAGTTACATAAGAATAACATAATGGGCTCAAAATCCTGTTGCATAACTTCGTTTTGCACAACCTGCCAAATACTTAAACCACTGAGCTATCCAGTCAGCTAAAGGGAGGAAATAGGAAACTTTAAAATAGTGTAAATTAAATGTTTCTGGCCCCTGATCCAGGTTATGAGCCTAGGGGAGCCTTAGAACCTAAACTGGGGCTGTGGGGATAGGAAATAAATTAAATGGTCCCAGTGTCCAATCCAGGTTAAGACAGGTGCAAAGTTATGCAACAGAATGTTTGTTCAATACACTGGCTGAGGAAGATGGGTACAAGGACCAGTCAGCTTGTTTGTTGCTGTAGTATAATACCTAACAACAACAACATGTGCCACCAAGCTGATTCTGATTTGCGGTGATCCATTCCAGGGTTTTCTAGATAAACAGTACTCAAAGGTGGTTTACCACTCCCTTCATTGGAGTGCTCTGAGATAGTGAAAATTGCTCAAAACTACACAGGTCAGCTTTTCCCTGGGGGGGGGGGCAGTGGGGAATCAAACTCCCAACATCTGACTGGAGTGCTCTGAGACTGTGAAAATTGCCCAAAACTACACAGGTCAGCTTTTCTCTTGGGGGGGGGGGAACAGTGGGGAATCAAACTCCCAACATCTGACTTCAGAACGAAATACCCTACTGACTCACTCAGCTACCGTAACTGTAAAACCATTCTGACCATTCTAAAGCAGGGCTGGGAACCACACTACACATTCTTCTTGCAGGCCCCAAAAATCCCCCATAAGACAAAAGAAAAAAGAAAAGAAGACAAAGAATCACCACTCCAAAGTGGCTTCCAAGAGGTGGTCTCCTCTATAGCAAGCCACAAGGTCATTTTTTTAAATCCACAAATAGGGATACAGACCATGGCAGTTCCCTACAGGATAAAACTGATCCCTGGTGGTTGCATACTGCTGTAACATACCATTTAAGCACCACATACTGTTATTTTGCATGCTCACAGTTCCTGCCGGCAATAACTTCTGGCTCACCTGGAGCTCAATTTATCAGAGGACTGCCAGACTATAGACTGAAAATGGTTGCAAGGCATTTAAACTATGGCAGGTAGAAGCAAATGTTCTAGGAGCTACATCAAAGAAGGTAGCAAAACAAAGGCCTCACTTATGTTTAGCCTTTCCTCTCCAAGAGGTTTTCGTACACAGAGGTCCCAGAATATGAATTTCCTTATTTCCCAGAAGAGCCAAACCAGAAAAGTTACCTTTCTGGAATTCAACTCGCATAATCTTAGCCAACATAAAGAGTAGGAAAGCAACTTTTTAGTCTACAACTCAGAATTGCCCAAAGAGCATAGCCATATGGGCTGAGGCATAAAAGTGACTTTCCTGAATTCTGAGGCATATCATGGCTGTTCATACAAAACCATCATCAAGACATGGTACATTTAGACTGAACTGTTGGGCTGAACACACAAATCCTTATGTATCAAATAATCGGTTATCCTTTAATAAAAATACCACTTCCTTGTTTTTAGAATGCGATGCTGTCTCACATTAAACACACATTTAAACCTGGGTACCTGGAGTTATTTTCCCAACCGGTATTTTATCACAGCAAGGTATCCAAAGCATCTTGGTTGAAAGGGACAAAGGTTCATCTCCTCTAGTTTCATGCTTCCAACATTAGTCAACCACCAAGAAGTCTTGGGCTCACCATGCAGATCTCAGTCTCCCCACTGATCTCTAATCCAGCAAGAACGATATCGCTGTTGAAGAGGGGACTTATTGTTTAGCTATGAATGTCAGAACATTTCTTTCAAAGGTTGACCTTGACTTTCTGAACTGATCACAGCTTGACAAACCTACTTTTTCCAGACTACAACCCTACAATAGTATAGCAGCAGCTACAAAAATAAAATCTGTCACAGCTGTGTTCACGGCTTATCCTTTAGGTTTAATGTTCTACACCTCTATTTGTCTCTGATCAATCTTTCTTTGTTGGCTACTTTTAGAAGTACAGTACTGTATGTTAAGAATTTCCAATCTCTTCTCATTCAAATAAGGATTTGCAATTTCATACGTCTGACATGCACAAAATTCAATAGGTTATGCCCCAGCTCAACAGACTGCACTTGCCTCCACCTAACAAATCTCTGGGTTCTTCTAGTCAGAGCTTGGAAGAGTTACTTTTAAAAACAACAGCTTCAAAAAGCCCAGTCATGTTGGCGGTGAGGCTTAGGGAATGGTAGTCCAAAACAGTAACTTCTCAAAGGGCTGGTTCTAGTAACAAACTAGGTCCTACAAACCTGAAGTTCACCCTCACTCTTAAGGTAGAATATTGTCCAAGACAACACCACACCTGACTAATGGACCTTCTGGGAGCTTCAGATTATAAGGAAACAAACAATTTAGGCTGACACCTAGGAGATTTAATTTCCAGAAACACTGCCAAGTAAACCCCTAGCAGCAAAAGCAACAGAGAACTTTTAGAGTATCAACTGTGTCTACCTTAAAGATTATCAAATTTAATTTGACCTAAACTTTAAAAGTGGGCCACAGTGCATAAAAACACAGGGGCAGTAAAATGTTATTAGCCTTTTACGTCTTTACATAGAAAAATAGACAGGGGACACCTCTGCTACTGATGGAAAGGTTAGACCAGGCGAACAAGACAAGTAACTAACCTTACCTGCATTTCCAGAAACACTGCCAAGTAAACCCCTAGCAGCAAAAGCAACAGAGAACTTTTAGAGTATCAACTGTGTCTACCTTAAAGATTATCAAATTTAATTTGACCTAAACTTTAAAAGTGGGCCACAGTGCATAAAAACACAGGGGCAGTAAAATGTTATTAGCCTTTTACGTCTTTACAAGACTTCTGGTCGTTTCTGCGTTGCCCGGGCACACTGCCAAGTAAACCCCTAGCAGCAAAAGCAACAGAGAACTTTTAGAGTATCAACTGTGTCTACCTTAAAGATTATCAAATTTAATTTGACCTAAACTTTAAAAGTGGGCCACAGTGCATAAAAACACAGGGGCAGTAAAATGTTATTAGCCTTTTACGTCTTTACAAGACTTCTGGTCGTTTCTGCGTTGCCCGGGCGTGTGGGGAGGGGGGAAGGGGAGGAAGAAAAATAGACAGGTGACACCTCTGCTACTGATGGAAAAGTTAGACCAGGGGAACAAGACAAGTAACTAACCTTACCTGCAAGAGCCCAAAAATAGCAGCCCATTTATAATTTTCAAAAGGCTACCCTCTACCCTCCCCAGGCTTCAAGTCTGGATTTAGCGCATCTAAATCTCAGTTTCGGAAGTGATAAAAAGTACAAATTGTGCAGCTTCTCATCGACGAGGAAAGGCTGTTATCACCTTTCTTTTCAGGATCCAGACCCTTCGCCCATCTCAAGACAAGCAGAAATCCACCCGGTGCAGTTTTTTCCTCTAATTATGAAGCCATGCATCTCCCTGGCTCAAAAAAGAGGGAAAAGCAAGCTCCCTCTTCCACCCACCCAGGCAAGGCGTTTCAGTGAGGAGCGGGATGCGGGGAGGAGAGGAGAAAGGGCTCGGCTACCTCTTGAAGTAACCGGTGAGCCTGCAGGGCTGCTGCCCGTCCAGCTGGACGAGGCCGTCGCTCAGCACCGTGAAGCCGCCTCCGGGCTGCCGGCTCGGCGGGTTGAGCGTGGCCAAAGTGTCGCCGTGGAGTTGGAAGGCGTGAGGCTGCAGGGCTAGGAGCTGCCGCAACGACAGCACCGCCATCTCGCAGTTGCACGTCCGGAGGCTCTGCAGCTCCCCCGAAGAGACGGAGGTCAAGCTGGGCCGGACCGAGGAGTCGGCCGAGCCGGCCTCGGCGCCGCTCCAGATGGCCATGACGGTGCCTTTACGAACCGGCGAAGGAACGAAGATGATGATGAAGAAGAAGAGCCACGCCGGCGTCCCCAAGAGCCTGCTGGCAAAGCGGCGCCCGGTCCGGGCAGAAAAACACCGGGGCGGAGCTGAGGGGAGGAGAAAAGGCCGGCCTAGGCCGCCCCGTCTGCTTTTCTTCGTGCGCGCCCGTCCTCTTCTCGGGGCTTGGCTCGCCGCCTCCCTCAGCCAGGCCCATCCGTTCAGTCGCCTTTCTGCCCTCTGGGGAAAACATCCCCGTTGTAAGAGTTGCTGTCATTGCTTTGGGGAGTAGGCCTGTGCGCCGCCTATCTCGTTCCCCCTGAAGGCTGGAGCCAAACACGCGGTGCCTCGTTTCGTGTGACATGAGACGCGTGTCTGGGGGAAAGAAATGGCATCATGTGGCTGGTCTCATTTCTGAAGGCAAAGCAGCTGATTAAACGAGGAAGAGAGAGGCCACCAAGCAGGAGTGACTTTTTAAAAGGCCTGGATGGTTAACATTAAAGCTCGGAATTTTTCTTTTGTCTGAAAAGCCCTACAGAGCCATACCGGTTTTCAGAAAGGCAGTCTGTTTCGGCAACGGCAACAACTAAAATATGCCTTGTGGCACCTTTAAGAGCACTACCATTATTTCAGCATGAAACATAATGGATATAATTAACGAGTGGTGTATCCATAAAAGCTTGCCTTGAAATTTTGGACCCCTTCTAAAAGGGGTCACAATTAAAGATGCTGTTGTTTATATTGTGCAAATAATCCCAATGAGTCACAAGCTTCTCCTTTTCTGACAGGATTTCACAAACACACTTCTTCTTGTTGTTGTTGGTTTTGGTTTTGGTTTTGGTTTTGGTACATAATGGATATAATTAACGAGTGGTGTATCCATAAAAGCTTGCCTTGAAATTTTGGACCCCTTCTAAAAGGGGTCACAATTAAAGACGCTGTTGTTTATATTGTGCAAATAATCCCAATGAGTCACAAGCTCCTTTTCTGACAGGATTTCACAAATACACTTGCTATTATTATTATTATTTATTTGATTTATATCCCGCCCATCTGGTCTGGTCGACCACTCTGGGTTCTATTGCCAGTTGAAAGAGCACTCATTCTAGATGTGAATTATTCTTCTCCACTAGTGAGATCCTGAGATCTTGCGGCAGCAAGGAAATATGCCAGCAAGATCATATTCATTTCTTCCTCCACTCTCCTGTTCAATTCTCTTTGGGCAAGACTAAAAGCAGGGTTTCACAAATTAAATGACTTGATCTATGTGAAAATGACCTTGTCTGGTCTTCCATCTTGGGCTTGAAGAAAAAATGTTGGAACTCCACCCATGGCATGATGGATATGCACGGTGAGTGCGAAGTCTGTGGTCCTAAACAGGTGAGATGAGCAACTTGAAATGGACATGTAATCCAGTTTCAAGTGATGTAAATTTCAGAAACCTTCAGTAAAGTGAGACCTTGCACAAGCTATCTAACTCTTGCTGTGGAGCCTATTGGGCAGGCAGGAGAGAAAGAGGAAGAGAGTGCCAAATGTCAGAAAATGAGAAAGAACTTGTTCTTATCCCACCCAGAATAGTCTTCAGCCATGCTCACCCTGCAGCCTTGACAGATTATCTCTTAAAGAATGTGGCCCCCGGGAGAAACCTGCAATACCTTAGAATTGAATCTCATTGACCTATTTTGAGTGCAGAAATAGGAAAGAGTTTTTCATCAACATCAAGTTTTAATTTATATGCTGCTTTTCCAGGAGGCATACCCAAAGCACCTTACAACACAAGAGTGATACAAAAATAAAAATGTGTATCAATATCATGTATAGGATATTTGCATTTCTTATACATGCACAAATAATTTTATGCAAAGTCACAAAGAGAAATTATTCTTGTTTGTGAAACCCTGTATCTTTGATCTAAAATTTCTCAAATATGTACTGTTTGTTACAATGCTTCAAATCATGTCACAATAAAAAAAATGTACACACACATGCATACCCCTTCATTATCACAATATGGTCATACCTCTGAATGTTTCACAATTAGATGGAACACTACCAAACAGATGAGATCAATTTAGCTATAAAAATATTCATAGTAATTAAAATCACAGCTGGTTGTGAAGACACATATTTCTATATCTGGAAGACTAAGGGGTCCCAAAGGGTCATTCAGATCTAAATAAGTATTTCATTTCATTTTTCAAGCTGTTTCTGATTGAAGTCAAGCTGAGGTCAAGCTAAAACAAACTTTTTGTTCTCCCCGCAGAATGTGTTGCAATAAAAGTTCTATTAATGACCTCAAATCCAGTAATTTCTATCATGAGATTCAGTTATTGCAAATATTTGTTACAAAAACCTCTGCACTGATTTTGCAACTGCTGCAGTTTCCTTCGCTATCCTATTTTTTCTACAAGGAGTTCTCAGCAGAATATACTTAATTGTATTTCTCCCATTTCTTCTCACAAAATCCTTTATAGTAGGTTAGCCTAGAAAATGTTGACAGTGGAGAGGGTAACCAGACTTTTCCAGATGAGTGGGGATTTGAACCCAAGTCTTCTTAAGTCAAGTCCTACATTGTAGCAACTTTAATAGATCTGTTTATAGTGAAATTTCCTTACAAAAGGAAGACATTGATGAGAGGAAAGCATTGGCATTCCATCACTTTATGCAGGAGAAAGAATGGAGCTACTTGTCAGTAAAGTACAAGCAACTAACAGAAAGAAATTATAGCATTTTCTTCTTCTACAGAAGGAGGTTTCTAAGAAAAGGCACAGCAGCCCTGAAGACTCCACAATGTTGTACCAATCCACAATGGAAAGTGATCAGTACAAAAAGTTATTGGAGCAGGCCCATGTCTCTCTCCTTTCTCTCATGCACACACACAGGAGAGATTGCAGGAAATACTGTAGTCTCATTGACTGAACGGGATTCATTTTTCAGTAAATACACTCCTAAATATATACAAGCTGCCTGTGTCAGATCAGCCTGTTCTTCCAGCCTTGTCCTGCCTATTGTCTTGTAATTTTAAAACTAGAAGATAGATAATTTGATTTTAAACATGTGAACTATATTTATTTGAAGTTTTCTTTGCAGTTTATATCTTCTGTTGGTAGGTCTGTCAGCTGCTATGAGCTTATTTTAGAATAAAAAATTGGGCCAAAATAATTTTAAAGAAATAAAACAGGAAAAATTTCTTTATCACGGACAACTGAACCTATATTTTCTGTACAGTTAGTTAAGCAGGTGAGGGAAACCACCAATATCATGGCCATCACCCAAGGCAAATCCACCATTTCCCCAAGTTCTTCTTAAGATCCCTCCAGAGGAAGACATGGCAGATGGAAAACACAGCTAAGGTGAGGAGTTGTCCAGTTGGAGGCTGGCTTGGATCCCATGGCCAGTACTCATGCTGGCTCTTGAATTCTGGAAACTATAGTCCAAAAACAGCAGCAAGAACTTCCATAATACAAAGGAATAATATTGATTAATTGGCATTGATATTGTCAAGCTTTGTACACAAGTTGTTCTGATGTTGCAGTAATGAAATGATTATCTTTCTCTTATTTGTAATGATGTATTACTATAATGATACTGTGTTTAATTTAAGCATCAGAATACTGAACCACAGCTCTTGTCTTGGGCATAATTGTGTAAGTGCAAGAGACCGTTGCAAGCAGGACAAGCCCTACCATTACGCAAAGAGAAACAGTTGCCTCAGGTGGTTGATGCTGGTTGATGTGGAGGAGGCAGCACTGGCAGACCCCTAGTTCTTTACTTCTATGAGTGTATTCTAAGCAGTCTGCTCTTGCCCCCTAAGCTAGTGCTCAAGTGGGGGATCCTGTCCAATCGCCACTGTCAAAATCAGATTCTATTCCAGTTGCCCTCTGTAGCTGGGATGGCAAGGCAGTGCCCTTATGACCTTGTTTCAGGCAGCAAGATGCCTTTGACTGATCTTGATCAGTGTTTGGGTCACAAGCTGTACATCTGCAGCTTTTGGTCTGCACATCCATTTAAGTTTCACGAGGCTCACCTTTTGTTTTCAGGAAAAAGAGGGAATGAATTCAGGCCAGGTGAGGAGGGTGCTTAAGGGCAGGCGTACAGCAACCAAAAGGTAACGTGGAGAGGCCCCACCTTTGTTATCTCTGACTTGGTGTTGCAATAGCATAACATAACCATAAAGAGATTGTTCAAAATATTATCTGGCGAGGAAAAATAATGAAACCCATTGCAGAACAATTCTATAAAATAATCTTGTGTCAAAATCTCCTACCTGTCTAATACCTGCTGAATGTATGCCAGCAAGACAGAAATAGTGAGGGAGAACAAAATTCATGTTCCCTTTCTCCCTCCCCAACTGGTTTTCTTTCTTTTAGAAACTGATGCTGTCCTAGGAAAGACAGAATTAAGGTGGTTTCAGACCATTTTTAAAACGATGTCACCACCCTGCCTTGTTAATTCACTGACTTTTACAGGGACTCTACTTGTCGTCTACCCCTAACAGGGGTTTCTGTTGACTTCTGACCATTAAGCATGCTTAGATGTAATGACTAGAATCTCATTATGTTTGTGTAAGTTTCATATAACTTTCTATGGGTAATTGTGGCTATTTGACTAGTTGCCAGAGCATATATCAGTTACACAATTCAGTGCATGACCAAGATGACCATATGAGCAAGACTCACTCTAGCTGTCATCAGCCAAAATTTAGCCATAACCAGTTATGCAGACCTTGCAGTTCTGGCCATTGTTATTGGGTATGGACAGATCCTGAAGCTGAGGCTCCAATACTTTGGCCATCTCAGGAGACAAGAAGATTTCCTGGAAAAGACCCTGATGTTGGGAAAGTGTGAGGGCAAGAGAAGAAGGGGACGACAGAGGATGAGATGGTTGGACAGTGTCATTGAAGTGACCAACATGAATTTGACCCAACTCTGGGAGGCAGTGGAAGACAGGAGGGCCTGGCGTGCTCTGGTCCATGGGGTCACGAAGAGTCGGACACGACTTAATGACTAAACAACAACAACAACAATGCACAGAGATCAGAATTAAGCACCCAAGTATTACAAAGAAAACTGCTGAGAAGCATGGCCATGTCTGAAGATGGAGATTGCAAACTGAATAAATAATTGATAACTGTGCTGACATTGTAGCTTGTATTTTACCCTGACTAAAAAAAGTCAGTTGAAGACAAATATGAGCATTGTCTAAGAGCTGGAAGAATCTAGACGATCAGGACAAAGGCCACTCTTGTGTTGGTGTACGTTGTACTGGCCAGGAAGTAAATAAAAAGCAAAGTTAGGAGCATAGGAAGCTGCTTTATGCTGACTCAAGGTTTAGTCTGCCTAACAGGATTCTTGTCAACACTGAATGGCAACAGTTGTCTAAGGCTTCAGGAAGAATTCTGTGCTAGTTATGACTGGATATCTCTAGTAGCCTTATAGTTGAAGGACTAACCTGGATCACACTGCTTAGTAGCTGAAACCAGACAGAATCCAGCTGTTCAGGATGCGTTGTTGTTGTTTAGTCGTTAAGTCGACAGACAGAATCCAGCTGTTCAGGATGCATTATTGTTGTGTCCGACTCTTTGTGATGTGTACCATAATGATAAACATATTGCTGAACTCTAAATTGCTGTGCTAATCCAAGGGGAGGGGGGAGAGAAAGAAAAGCACACAGTCCAGCAATAACTCTGTTAGGAGAACCAACCCAAATACCACAAAAATGTGCGCACTCTATGTTTTTCTGTTTTGCTTCA